GGCTATATTCAGCAGTGAAACCTATCTTAAGGAAAAAAATGAAGGAAAGCATCGAACAATACTGGGAAAAAAAATCTGAAATAGGATAAACTGTTATTACATAAAGCACTGATATTAATCATCTCTGACATTCTAATATAGATTTCATAGCACTTTCAGACCAACAAGCTAATCCAAAATACAGCTATAGAAAAGAATCCCTTTGCAAAACCAGTAATAATACTGTTGCTTCCAAGTACAACGACATACCAGAAATGATGTACTGTACAAACCAATAAATAGGTCAAGCAAGTCTGGGTTCCACACAAATGGGCAATGTCCATAAAATGCTCGTTTTATGGTAAGTCGGAGCTCAGCGGTGTGTCGGAATACAACCGAAAAAAGGTGCTTTACATTGATAGAATGAAACAGGTGAGAGCAGTGGAGTGGACAACTGGACCCCATGTACTAGGCACAAATTAGACGAGATCAGGAGCTCTTTGAAGACCTAGCTACATGTTTTTCTAGTGTTCATTTTCATCAACGAAACCCATTCTGTTTTGGCAGCATTCAGAACATGTCATCATACAAAAAAAGAAAAAAGGAAAATAACAGAGATATGATATTCACGAGGTGAAAAAACAACATGGGTATGCCTGATCTTGGACACAAATGCTAGCAGCTTCAGTGTGCTCAGAAGAAGTGAAGGCTTAGCCAAACAAAACAACGTACCTCGTCTACGTTCTGTTTGAGGACGTGGCTTTTGGGCTTTAAAAAGCTGGGACTGCTTCAGTAGAGCCAGCTGGACGATCAGCTGCTGTAATGTAGGGGTGGGCGGATCGATACGCAACCGATCACAAAAATATATCGATACTAATTTTTGATGTCCACATTTTATCGGGTTTTCACTTTTTTACGTGAACAAGAAGACGAAGTAAGAAGTGACGCTATCTGTATTTGGACATCAGTCTTTGTATTACACACTTAAAAAAGATGGTTCTTCAAGGGTTCTTTGAGTTCTGTATAGAACCATTCCATGCTAACATGGTTCTCTGCATGGTGAAATGGATCTTGAGTGATGGAGAATGTGTTGTACATCTCGAAAATGGTCCTATATAGCACCAAAAAAGGTTCTTCTATTGTTACACTCTTAAAAAAGATGGCTCTGTAAGGGTAGTAAGTAAAGAAAATGCTTCTATATAGAACCATGAACACTCAAAGAACCGTTGTCATGATTAAAGGGCTCTTTGCATCATGAAAGTGTTCTTCAGATTGATGGAAATTGAGCATGAATGTGCTATAGACGGTTCTATATAGAACCTATGTAGCACAGGTTCTATGTAGCTTGACTTTGTAACAATAGAACCCTTTTGGGTGCTATATAGAACCATTTTCAAAAAGGTTCTATATAGAACCATCTACCTCACAGTCTCCATCAATCTGGAAAACACTTTAATGATGCAAGAACCCTTTAATCATGCAAAGGATTCTCTTAAAAAGGTTCTATGTAGCACCTTAAAGTGTTCTTCTATTGTTTTAAGCTTGAGATTGTAACGACAGAAGAACCCCTTTTCGTGCTATATAGAAACATTTAATGATGCAAAAAGAACCCTTTTATCATGGAGAAGGCTCTCTGAGTGTTCATGGTTCTATACAGAACCATTATTTTTCCTGAAGAACCCTTAAAGAACCATCTTTTGTAAGAGTGTAAAAGCTTGACAGCGTAACAGTCGAAGAGCCCTTTTTGGTGCTATACAGAACCATATACAACACATTCTCCGTCAATCTGAAGAAGCATTTCCCCATGCAAAGAACTATTTAAGCATGATATGGTTCTAAATCATTGCCTGTACTAAAGAACCCTTGTAGAACCATCTCTTTGAAGTATGTACTTGGTATCAGATCAAAAAGAGAATGAGTGTTATCGCCCATCTCTGCTCTACTGTTATCAACTTATTTGCCATTATCCCAGTTTACTTTGTTTCAGAGAACCATCACTAACCTACTAACCAGTCACTACCCAACTGAATATCGAAGGATGTATTACAGTCAAGACTGCTTTTTTATTATTATAAGTCCAGATTAAGACAAAGTGAGACCAAACACGCACACTATAATGAAAACTCCATAGAAATGAGTAGAAATACAGAAATCCACATTTGCAGGCAGCACATGAAAGAGAGTGACACATTTCAACCCCACGTCACAGTTTTATGTTTTTGTGAAGGTACAACTGACCGTAAGATCCCAAAAGGTAACAGGGGCGGCTAGTGAAGCCTTCCAAACATGCAGAGACACATTCACGCTCACTCACAATTCACGGATTAATGCTTTAGGAAACGTGAGGGGTACGTGTTAGACGTTTCGTTCTGGGTGGCATTTGTGACCTAAATCTGCTCCTGGGGCCGATCTGTCTGCAGTGTGCAGCTCTTATCTCCTCACTCCAACAGCCACTGTTTGCAGACTGTCTATTACACAACTTCCCTTTGACCTTCCACTTTCATTTTCTCCATAGCGACTCCTGCTGTTCGCAGGCGCTAATAACAACAGATGTTCCGGGTCACGGCACCAGCAAAATGACTCTTCAGACAGAACTATTAGCCTTCTAAAGTTTCTCACTCTAAAATTCAGTCTGAACAAGGAAAATGTTAAGTTTTCTAAAAAAAAAACCCCATAAAAATTCAGATCTAATGTCAAAATTCCATTTATAGTAGCTGGAATTATATTTTAGCAAAATAATTCAATGTTTGAACTTAAGTAACCTGGACGTCTTAAAATGTTTAGTTCATTAAACTTCTACACTTTTAAAAATGATGGTTCTTCAAGGGTTCTTTAGTAAAGAAAACTGTTCTATATAGAACCATGTACACTCAAAGAACCCTTTCCATGATTAAAGGGTTATTTGGAATATGAAAGCTTTCTTCAGATTGATGGCGAAATGTGTGGTAGATGGTTTTATATAGAATCTTTTTTAAAAAGGGTTCTGTATGGCACCAAAAAGGGCTCTCCTATTGTTACGATTCAAGCCTGTTACAATAGAAAAACCCTTTTTGGTGCTATATAGAATTTTTTCACAAAGGTTCTAGATAGAACCATACATTCTCCATCAATCAAAGGGTTCTTTGCATCATGAAAGTGTTCTTCAGATTGATGGGGGATGTATTACAAATGGTTCTATATAGAGCCTTTTTGAAATTGGTTCTGTATGGCACCAAAAAGCGTTCTCCTATTGTTACGATTCAAGCCTGTTTCAACAGAAGAACCCTTTTGGGTGCTATATAGTATCCTTTTCAAAAAGGTTCTACATAAAACCATACATTCTCCATCAATCAAAGGGTTCTTTGCATCATGAAAGGGTTCTTCAGATTGATGGAGAATGTGTGGTAGATGAACCTTTTTGAAAAAGGTTCTATTTAGCACCCAAAAGGGTTCTTTTTTTGTAACAAGCTTGACATCGTAACAAAAGAAGAACTCTTTTGGGTGCCATTTCACAATGCAAAGAAGCCTTCGAGGGTTCTTCGAGTGTTCATGGTTCTATATAGAACCATTTTCTTTACTAAGGAACTTCTGAAAGACCATCGTTTTTAGGGGTGTGACATTAAGTTAGATGAACTATAATCTGTGTTTTATATTCTGTTAACTTATTATTTGAGGTTTAATAATAATAGGTTAATTTTAATGGAAGAAACAATTTTGCTAATGAAATTTTTACAGGTTACTCAATTTTCATGATTAAACATTAAATTTTGACATATTACGTTTAATTAATTAAATACTAATTGTGCAAATTCAATTTTCACCAGTAATTAATCAATTCAAATGTAATATTTAGAATTATTCATAAAAATGTAATTATGATGTAAAATTTAGTTCATACTAATATTAATTGTATGAATTGTTCACCTGGTTCCTATTAAAATGAATTGGAAAAAAGCTATAAATCTTTGTGAGAACTTAAATCTTACATGCTAAAATATAAATCCTATTACTAAAAGTTCAATTTGATTGAACACTTTTTCTGATATCAAGAAACTTTTGGTCTAAAGCTAAAACAGCTCTGAGTCAGCACAGCAGCACTCCAGTCTAAATGAGTTTCCTCACAGCTAACGTTGACGGACAGTCTGTGAAGTCTGTTATGGAAAAAGGCGTGAACGATATTCCCCATCGTGTCGCACACAAACGTGCAAAAATAACGTGAACAATCTGTCGCCGTCCCAAAGCGACTGCTAAAAATATCCAGACGTTTAGAGCTGTTTAGAACGAACAATGTGCCCACAGTAAGCAGTTTACAGGAATTCTACTGTATATAATCCGTTGTGCAGACTATCTCTGTTAGTTTATGAGCTAATTTTGGCACCGGTATTAAAAAACTCATTCACTTTTGAGTGTGTAAAATTCCTAGTCTCTGAATTAAATGGAAGATCATAAGGCCAATTGGAAATCAGACAGAAGCCAAGAGCCATGTTATGTCATTTTATATCAAAGACGCTGCATGGCCTGAAAAAATCAACACTTTGTTTCATCTCCAGTCTAAATATTGCCTTGCCTTGAGTAAACAGTGAAAATTTATGCCATGACCCGAATACAAAATCGCAATTGAACGACCAGATGAAAGAAATGAGGTAGGTTTAGAGGAAGCTCGACGCACAAAACTCTGTTTTTTCTTCACTGAACTCCAAAGAAAAGGCCAAAAAAAACGGAAAATTACTGTAGTTTTGCAGATGGATTGCTCGGAGAACCACGTACATTACCAAACACTGCTCTCACAGAGTCACAGTTTCAGAGTGTTTTGGTGGTCAGACGCTTTGTTCGGAACTGAGGCGTGAACGTTTACAGGACGACCCGGGACGCACACGGAGGGTGGTGGAGGATATCACTCTAACTCGCAGTTAGAAGTGATGGATCCATCTGTGGGAGAGCTGAGCACCTTACTTGCAGTCATAAGCCTCCAATGTTCTCCCCTGGCCTTTATTGCACTTGGACGTCCAAACTAAAATACAAAACTACAGCATAGTCTTAGAACCATGTGAAACGGACCTTTATTTTCCCAGAATCAGAAGAAATGGACTGGAACGGCTCGTAATTCTGATGTGTGGTACAAAAACATCCAGGCATCCCTTTCCAGATTTGTCTTAACTACTGTTGTTTTTTTGTACGTATGGATGCTAAACCTTTTTTCCAACATTCACCCATACACACATACATATAGGACATACGTACAGTACTCACGGCTACAGTGTGACATAATGCAGCTGTAAAAAACAAAGTGGTGATGAAATGTGTTCCACGAGAGTTTGGAGTGTAAAACATACAAGGCTGAGCACACACACACACACACACACACACACACACACACACACACACACACACACACACACACATCAACCTCTTCAGCGAACTGTTTTGTCTGAGAGGGTTTTCCATGTATAGCCCAACAGCAATAAATTATTGTGTTGAAAGTGTCTAAACAGTTACAATGTTTTGTTCAATAGTCAATAGTCACTCTACACAGGAGAGTCTATCCCAGTTCAGTTCCATTCTACTAATAATAACCTTCTCCAAAGGAATCTGGGAACATATTTGCCATGAAAAAAAAAGTTAAGAACCCCGCGGCCACAGGAGATTCTGGATAGAGGTTGTTCTTCTCTGGCGGCCCCTGGTGGTCTGGGGAAATCGGTCACTAACTGACTGTGACCGTTCAGATGTCTCCGGCTTTCTGGAGCAGCTTCCGGGAAGTCTTTATCTTTATCCTAACCGCCATGCTGTATTCCACACACTGTGGTTTTCCCTCATTTTTCAAAACAGAACATGTCCACAGACACAACGCGGGGGGAGGATGTGGATGGGTTACCAGTTCATCATGGAGTTTCTGTTCAAGGTCATGAAGAAAACTTGGCTACTGCCTCCTGATCTGACTGAGGCAAAGAAGACCTGGCCAAGAAAAGCAGAAAGCAGAGTCTCATCAGAGAAACAGATGTTAACAGAAGCTCTTTTTACACACAGTAAGCCAGATTGTTATATTATTACCTACTGATCATTGTGCATCATTTTAAACCATAATACATTCTAAGCACTTGTTTCAAACTCATTTCAACTCAATGCACAATTCACAGCGTCTACTAAAAAACATGAAAACTAATGAACAGTGAAAAGTGACCAATCCTATGCAGTGGGGTGTCACTGTTCATAGGAAAACAATTTAGTGATTTTAACATACAAAATTGTGTGTATTCTGCAAATACAGGGATAACTGCTGTGGAATTATTTCGCCCATTAAGTTCAACAACTATGCAACAACCGTGTTCAACAACTACAAGTCTGTTTTCTAGGTATTTTGACATTTTTGTTAAAAATATGTTGCCTACCATACCAAGGTCATAAGGTCAATGTGTACGAATTTTGGCAGACATCATTTAAGACCCCACATCTATTATAAACTGATTAATTCTAATAACCTTTCCCATCATTTGTGTTCTATTGGCTTCAGTTGAGGTGCATTGTGCTTGGACCCCAGTGATCGCCATTTGTGGACAGTTGTGTAGGTCTCACAGCAGTTATAGTCCACAGAAATCAACGTGTTCTACATCAATTTTATGCAAACACTAAAAGAAAGCTGATTGCTTTGGTTGCTAACAATGATAATTTACATGTCAACCTTTTTCACCCACTGTTCGAAAGCTTTTGAAGGAAGAAAAATGGCAAAATTAAACACCACTCTTCACGTTGATAACATGAAATGACAAAAATGTGTAAAATTCATTCAAACCAACATTTTATCAACAAAATCACTAACAATGCTGCAAAGAGTTTATATGAGTTTAAGAAATTTGACAATTTAGAACTGATGATTAATCTGACAACTAAAGCAGTGAGTGCGTATATATGCATTCAATAATCCGATCATAATTGGATTTCTGCAGTTATCCAATTATTCAAACGGTCATGTAAACACCATACTCCGATCTAGAAATCTGATTAAGGAATCTGATAAAGAGAGCTGGATTTTAGCTCAGTAATCAGATTTCTTAGTGCATGTAAACTCTTACTCTGATTTCTGTCGGATTTCTCAGTGTGTGCATGTACGAGAACAGATGGTAGATGTAGCGAGACGCAGGAGCGGCGCTGAAACCAAATGCGAAATAAAGGAACTGAATATTCTTCATCTTCTAGATGATGTAAGTTCATATTTTCAGGTAAAGTGGCGCGATGTTTAAAAAAAAGCTGCAGTATGAGTTTTACATTATGTTTACAGCACGTCTTCTTCTGTGAGTTTACTGGCTGGTTGTAAAGCAGAAATCTGATTATTGTCTGACTCATGTAGACCTGGAGTTTTCCCATTATCTGATTAGTCAAGTGCATGTAAACGTGTTGATCGGATTACTGACCAAATCTGATTTTCTGCAGGTACTGGATTATTGAGTGCATGTAAACACACTCAATGTTTAATACTGGAGTCGTTTTAATTTTTGACCATAATAAATTATACTGGCAGATATTAGCGGTTAGTGGCGGCAAAGTTTTCATACCGGTCAGGTGCTAGCTGACCAAGACAGTTTCTAAAGTATACCACTTAATCTAAAGTATACCACCTCTATACACTCACCTTGTCGTTTCGCTCAGAGAGAAACTTCAGTCGCTGAGCTCGCTTGTGCATGAAAACTCCGTCGAGGTGTCCCGTTTCCACTGAACGGATCTCAATGGCTTTCTCTCCCCAGCCCATGATCTGGTTGGAGTGGATGTAGGCTGCAGAGGGGGAAGGGGACAGGACAACAGGACATGTGACAGGACAGCGCTGACTCTCATTGCAGTAAAAAGGCTACGTTAGTGAGAAACACCCCATTCCTCGACGACTTCTGACGGCCAACAGCAACCTGAAACTGGCCCAGACTGGAAAAAGACAGGCTTGCCCAAGGCACCCCACACCATCAGGAGGTAATTATTGCAGCAGTTTCTGAGACTCGGAAAATACGTCCTGCTCGGAATCAGCAGTGATTACGGCACTTTTTTTCTCCTTTCTAACCCGAATTCAGCAAGGCTGGTCAAAAAAGACTAAAACACTCAATGTAAGGGGACCCTGTTCTAGATTTAATGCACTGTGGGTCCTCAGGAAACCCTTTGAGACCTACACTGACCATAAAGATTGCTGTGGACTTATTTACAGAGATGCTGATAATAAAACTGTGATAAGATTTTTTACCTTCCTAACAAGGCAGATCACGAGTTTTGGCATAGAAATACTGGAGGGATGTGTACTGTAAGCTGCTATCAGGTTCTGAGTACAGAACTATTAAACAATAAGTTTGGATTGATTAATCACTGAAGAACCTTTTTGTGTTCTGCCCATAAATGTGGTTTTTCTTAGCAACTATTGTGACAAGCTTTACGAAATGTTGGCAAAGATCCCATTTAACCTCAGGAGGAATTGTACACATTTAAAAATTATGGTTCTTTAAGGGTTTTTGGTAAAGAAAATGCTTCTATATAGAACCATGTACACTCAAAGAACAGAAAAACTCTTTTTAGTGCTATATAGAACCCTTTTCAAAAAGGTTCTATATAGAACCATATACAGCACATTCGTCATCAATCTGAAGAACGCTTTCACAATGCAAAGAACCCTTTAATCATGGAAATGGTTCTTTGAGAGTTCAGGGTTCTATATATAACCACTGTCTTTACTAAAGAACCCTTGAAGAACCATCTTTGTTAAGTGTATAGGGCACAACTAGTTTGTGTCAAAGTGCTTCAATTTATACTGTTATCATTTCCAAATGATTTTTTTGTGCTATTTTAATATTGCTAGCTAGCTAAGTTAACGTTACTACGGCATTACTAGCTAATACAACTTCAAAACTTCAACCAGACATTTTTCTCTCACTTTGTTGAATGGGATTTTTGACAGTGTTCCATAAAGCTTTAAGGTGTACCACAGGGTTCTGTTTTAGGCCCTCTTTTACTGTCATTGTACCTGCTACCATTACCTTATACAATTAAAGAGCATGGAATCAATTTTTATCACTATTTGAAGAGCCAGATGTTACCAGTGTTTTATATAAACTAATAACCTCTCTGTCCATTTATAGTGTTATTTTTTGTGTGCTAATTTAATAAGATTGCTAGCTAGCCAAGTTAACGTTACTATGGCATTACTAGCTAATACAACTTCAAAAAGCTCTCACTTTGTTAAATGGGATTTTTGACAGTGTTCTATAAAGCTTTAAGGTGTTCCACTGGGTTCTGTTCTAGGCCCTCTTTTGCTGTCATTGTACCTGCTACCATTAACTCACACTATTAAAGAGCATGGAGTCAGTTTTTATAGCTATGTGGATGCTATACTTATTTGAAGAGCCAGATGTTACCAGTGTTTATATAAAGTAATAACCTCTCTGTCCATTTATAGTGTTATTTTTTGTGTGCTAATTTAATAAGATTGCTAGCTAGCTAAGTTAACGTTACTATTGTACTACTAGCTAAATCTCTCACTCTGTTGAATGGGATTTTTGACAGTGTTCCATAAAGCTTGTCCAACATCACAACAGTTGCTGTGAAAGAATGCATTTGCGGGCGGAGCACTGATAGGCTGATTATTTCGTAAGCGGAGGGGCGTTTGTTTTGTCTGAATCAAAACCCTCAGTTTTGGCAATAACTTAACTGACATAAAATAAATCAGAACATTCACATTCAAGATGAGAACGAACGAACATCAAATGCTAAAAATTAACATTGTAGACCCATGACACGAAAATAGATCATTAAATGTATGATCATTAGTTGTACGAAGACATCCTAAAGGTTAATCTAGTGTTCCTTTTAAACAAACAACAGAATCAGCATCTTTCATCTCTCTGATGGTGGTCGCTCATAGATCTAAAATGGATCCTCTGCTTTAAAGAAGCAGATAAGTCAACATCGTTCAGGATCCATTAAGCTTTCGCCCTGCTTTGCTGCAACGTTTACTATAAAAGATGCATTTGAGGTTTCAAGCACATAGAAAGACAGTAAGATATGTCAAGAGTTTCACACAAAGAATGTGAAGACAAGTCAAAATGAAACAGTATGTTAGCAACACATGGAGTGCTGAAGCTGGTGTCAGTTACCAAACAGTTAGCTACAGACTGCATGTTTCAAACACAAAGGAAGAAAACATAAAAAAACAAGAAAATGGTTTAACATACATACACACACCACCAGTGAACTCTGCGCCAGGACTGGAAGTTGAACTGGAGACTGAGGATGTGCCACAGGCTGGGGGTGGAGTGTGGGGACAGTGCAAGGGCACGAGGGGGCACATGGCTGATTCTAAATTGAGTGTGAGTGGTTTGGTGAAGGAAAAGAGTCCGACTAATGAAGTTGATTCTAATCTAGGTCCTGAAGTTCCCCTGCTCTGAGTATTTTGGCTAATTAAAAAGCCCTTTGTGATTTGAAGTGGGAGCACTAAAGCAGGGAAAACACTACAACGCGCAGGGCAGAGAGGCCAGTTGCACCAACAGGTCACCGACTGCGTTACTAAGCAAAATTGCTATTCGCCACTTGCATACATAATACTAACTAGCTAACTAACTAATCCATGCCACCAATGTAATAACAAAAAAAACAACAACAACATTTCTGTGACATTTTTCAGTTCTTTGTGCAGCACCACACAAGTACTATCTTACAGTGGTTTAATGCATATTCTATAGGAAGAAAGTATTTGTTAGTCTAGTGAGCATTTATCAGGAATACATGATATTGTTTAAGGTGTACCACAGGGTTCTGTGCTAGGCCCTCTTTTACTGTCATTGTACCTGCTTCCATTAACTCATACTATTAAAGAGCATGGAGTCCGTTTTTTATAGCTATGTGTATGATATACTAATGTCTTACAGTGGTTTAATGTATATTGTAAAAGAAAGAATGTATTTGTTAGTCTAGTGAGCATTTATCTCGAATACATGATATTGTTTATGGTGTACCACAGGGTTCTGTATTAGGCCCTCTTTTACTGTCATTGTACCTGCTTAACTCATACTATTAAAGAGCATGGAGTCAGTTTTGTTACCAGTGCTTTATATAAACTAATAACCTCTCTCCATCATCATTAACTGGATGGATAATATTTATTAAAAGATAAATAAAGAAATAAATGTAAATCCTTATTATTGGTAATGAAGCAATGAAGTGGGACTGGGAAGTCGTAAATCTCTTATCAAATGTTCCCAGATTAAATATTCAGTTTATGACCTGTTATTGCAGTGGATTTAAGCAGAGGTGGGTAGTTCAGATCCAGAAAATAAAAATCCTCCCCAATTTGTTCCAACAGCCTGGAAATTTTCCAGCCTCTGCTGGAAATTTAAGCTCACTACAGAAGCCAGGTTGTAGGAAAAAACCTTGGGGAGGGTTTTTACTCTCTGGACTTGAGTTACCCACCTCTGGTCTCAAATGTATGCCCAGGTGCAAGTGTAGCCAGGACCACTAAGTGTTTGGGCTGGAGTTGAGAAACACTGCTTTAAAGAATATGCAGGGACAAAAAAGTGTGCGTGTAATAATGTGTGTGCATGTGTACTGAGGCTAATATGTGTTTGGCTAGATGGGTGAAGGGATTTTCTCAAGGAAGTGCTGGGCTCAGGGGGTGGGCACTGCTAGCAGCTGGGTGACAGGGCTCTGAAAGGAGAACAGGGGCGGTTTGTGTCCAATGAAAGAAACAACCACAACCTACCAACAGAGGTGGGCATCTCTCCCCATTGTAGCACCACGTCTTTAGTGATTCTGCCGTAAGTGTTCACATAGACCCCCTCATCTTCATAACACAGAAGCATCTCCATCCCGTCGGTCTTGGGGAGCACCACAATGGCGTGGGGGGTGACACTGCCCTGAATCTGGGGGAGGGAACACGGGGGGGGAGGGGAAGGGGTGGGGGGGCAGATGAGCCTCGGGTGACAAGTACGAGCGGCAGTGCATAACATTCCCCTCTGCAGGTGACGCTCTCCCCCTTGCTGGCCCGCTGGCACTTCTCCCTGTGAGAAACTGCTGCAACAATAAAGTCCCCCACTCTCCTCAGCACCACAAACTGACCACCCCCAAACTTGCTTTGCACCGTCCACACTGGGGTGCCACATCTTTCTGGTTGCTTTGGTTCACTTTATCAGATACACAGTTTTTTTGGTTGGTCAAAGGTCGTAGATCGGGGAAATGTTTTGCTCTAAGCAATATCCTACTGTTATATGCTTTGCAGCACCAGTCAAATGTTTACACACGCCTACTCTTTTCCTTATTTCTACTGCTTTCCAGTAGAAATATTTTACAAATATTGTGAGGTCATCAAAACTGTCATTTAACACATACGGATTATGCAAGACCAAAGAAAAGTTTGACAAATCAAACTATCATATCGCTGCTGTCAGATCAAAACCTTGTATCTCCAAAACAGTCACTTTACAGTAGAAAGAAAAAACATACTTTACTTTTCATGTAAGTCAATGGAACCAGACATTTTTTCACGTCATTTCGGGCCGTTTCTTTTAGTCCGTTTATCATGAAATTGACACACAATGTAAAAGGCAATAGGCATTTTCAGATCATGTCAAAAACTGAAAAATGACAAAAATGGAGATACGAGGTTTTGTTCCGACAGCAGCGATATTTTACATTCTTAAAAGTATTTTCCCTTTGTGTTGATGTTACACACTCCTTCCTTTTCTCGAGCAGGTTTATGAAAAGCCACCCTCATGACAAGCTTGAAGTAGTTCCACATATGCTGAACTCTTGTTGGAGTAGTTAAAAAAATCAACTACTTATATTTGTCCTAGAAACAAATTAAGCAGTTAAGCATAAACCTTAAGGCCAAAATGCATTTAAGATAATGAAAAACATATATTAAATCAGGTGTGTCCAAACATTTGACTAGTACTGTATATAGCTAGCTCTATAAACATTATTACAAATGGCAGATGCAGATATTACATTCATGTTACTTTCAAAACACATTTAAACCACAGAACCATCTAATACTGGAGTATCTTATCTACTTTGTATGCAGACATTGTTATTGTTTATTAGTGGTATTAGTAATAATAGTAGTAGTAGTATAGAGTCAAAATTAGAAACTCTTTTGTACCAGATACCAACAGACTTGAGTACAATGTCCTTATGGAGGAGGAGGTCACCCGCCCTGCCCCTGAGTGCAGGCTGAGAAAGGGAAAATCTCCTCTACTCAGCCCACCGTCACTTACGTGGGATGGGATGTAGATATCGTACGGGTTCCCGGAGTCAACATCTATCACATGAAAGCCAACGCTGGAGCCATAGATAACCTTTAACCTCTGGCCTTCCTCCACTGTCAGGTCAACCAGCTGAGGCTTATGCTGCAGATCTGTGAAAGACTTTGGAGACGAAGAGAAAGAGAGAGTGTTTAAGTGAATTTCTCAAAATAGACGTGTTAAAAACAACACATACGGGCAGATTTACTAAAAGAGGCGCTAATTACCGACAGTCTACAGACACGTTCTGCTGGCGGATGTGGCCAATTTAACGGGTTATCTACTAAGAAAATCCATGCAAATGAACACAAGCTTTAATCAATGCAATATAAACCTCTGATTAGCTCACATGGTTTTTGTATGAAAGGCAGTTTCCACCACATAGGAAAAAAATATTCTTCTTAGATTCTGGTTCAAACTGTGTCTTCAAATAATGACTTACTTTCTCCAGATTTTGACTTTGTCACAATAAAGTTATTACTCATCAAGAAAGTACATGGTTGTTTCAATATAAGGCATTATTTTGAGAAAAGAAGAGATTATAATTTGGGTTTTTGTTTCGAAACATATTCATTTTATGCTGGAGGGATAAGCTGGATTTCAAGCCAAATACATCTGGATACTGTAAAATTTCTGCTTGATTTCTCAAACTGAGCATGTCCTCTTAGCTATGTGCATTGAAGGCTTTGATATTTCATGTACAAAGTAACAAGTCAAGTCAAGTCATAGTTTATTTATATAGTGCTTTTTACAACAGGTGTTCTCACAAAGCAGCTTTACAGAAAAATTTGGGTCCGAGCCCCCAAGAGCGTCACCAGTGGCGACCGTGGCAAGGAAAGACTCTCTAAGAGCAAGAGGAAGAAACCTTGAGAGGAATGAAGACTCAAAAGGGGAACCCATACTCCTCTGGTCGACACCAGATAGCAAACAGCACGTACAAAGTAACAAAATAATAAGCAGCTTTAGCAACGCAGGGACCGCGCAGGATAACGAGTTTCAATTTGTGCTTTTCACATGGATTTGGAAAAGAAAACGGTCAAATCATTGTTAAAACCTGTTCTAAAGACTCTGATGAGTGTAAATTATACCGTATGATGATATTTTATTGCTATCATGGACGCAGGCATATTGTAGATCTCATCAGCACTTGAAGAACACTGATGTTTCATCAGAGAAAGCATAATCAGCCCTGTGTAACTGGATTTAGTGCAGTGTATTTTGTGAAATGTTGAATAAAATTATTGTTCTCAGAGATTTAAAAGCTTAAAATGTGGCCTTACTAGTGAATTCTGTATGCGTGTGAAAATACTGTGATATTTTGACACACATACACAATTCACTAGTAGTAGTTATGCTCTCTTTGTAATTAAACATCAGTTTTAATTACAAATTACTGACTAATTACTTTAATTACTGATGATATCTACAATATGCTCACGTCCATGATAGCAATAAAATATCGTGATAAGCATCGTGCATCCTGAAAATGTCTTTACATATCGTGATATGGTGTTTTTGTCATTTCACCCACACCTTGTGACCACCTTTGGTTTTTCTAAGGGCTCCTGTTCAATAAATCCTGACAGCCACTTTTTAATGCCAAAATAGAGTAAATCAGAGTAAATCTGCCCCAAAATGCATTCAAATATTTCAGCACAAACCGTGTGCTGCTAATGAACACATCATTTTCGTGAAGCAGCAGCAGAAATCAAATATCCTCTGAACCTACTTTGAAAATAAAAGACTCTACCTTGACCTACTTTGACATAAAAAAGACTAATTCAAAATGATCTGACAGCTAAGGATACCGATAAAAATCTCATTAAAGAGACTCTGAATGAATCCTGTCTCTCACCTTGAAAGCCATAAATTTGTGGTATGGTTTCGGAGCCCAGGCGTAAATCTCCACTGAATTCTTCAAGGCAATCACCAAGAACTTGATCCGCTCGTATTTCACTTTCAAATGAAAAGAGACGGGTGTGAGTCAGAGTATAAAGATACGCAGTACAACATTTATTTTATCTGCAATGAACTTCTTTATTCAAATGTGTTCTTCATTTCCACACAAATGAAATAATACACTGAGACACTTTTGCCATTCACTTCACTCAAAGCTGGCATTTTATTCATGTGGAAATAATATAATATTCATAAAGAAATTCAATGCATTACTTACATTGTTTATGAAAGCTGTAAGCTGTCAAACACTGTCATCAATGGCACATACCGACTTTGTAATGAACACAGCCCTCCAGGTCGCCCACAGTAGTCCAGCCTTGCTTCTTCTCCACCTCAGGATCATTGTGGAGTATCCTGTTCCTCAGCCAGGACAGGTAGTACACTCTCAGTTTGTTCTTTTTGCCTGAACGAGAGACAGAAAAGCATCATGTTAGACTTCAGTGATCCTCTTACTCATCTCAGTGAATGGAGACGAGTTAAACCCTAAAAATCACAGCTGTAGCTGGCAAAAATAAAAGTGTGGTGTAACTGAATTACTTCTCATTTGCAGCTCATTCAAAGCAAGAGGAGAAGTTCAACATTTGCATTTGTAAGTATAAGGAGATTTTATTATGATTTTAATTAGATGAAAAGTCATGCATATAATTTTATGTGGAAAAAAAAATCACCCTTTTTTGCTGTTTTGCCTTTTTTTGACAATGAAACAATAGAAAAGAAGACTTGAACCTGTGGATACAGAATGTAAACTGAATGTAAACAAATTTTTACATAACTATTTCATTACTTAACTACGTATTTACATTTTTAGGGGTGTTCCAACCTAAAAAAGAGTTTCATACCTCATTTGTCATGTTATGCGATATTCTGTAGCACAGCATTATATCCCCCAACCTCATCAGTTAGACAGAACTCGTGATTTTAATCTTAATGAATTTTCATTTGTTCCCCATGTGTTTTCTCTTACAATAAAATCCAGCATGCATTACGCAAATACATCACATACCCATTTGGAATCATTGTGATGTTAACCAATATTGACCGCCGGCCTTATAACCACTGATCTATAGGCTAATCCAGGGGTCGGCAACCCAAATGTTAAGAACAGCCATTTTGTCCTTTCAACAAAAATCAAACCACTTTGGGAGCCACAACATTTTACATCTCAGTATGTCTTTACGTATGTCTCAGTATGCGCTGAGGTTCTAGTATAGGCCAAAAAATATAATATTAATGGAAACACAGAGATTTAAGATTTAGCACAACTATAGCAGCTTTTCTTGCATCTCCGGCAGGAAACAAAAGTAGAACAGTTTCTTGTAAAATGACTCTCAACGTTTGATTTTTTATGAGGCTGAAGTCAGTTTCTCATTCGCCAGCTTCTTGTTCGAATTTTACCGTTTTACCTTAAATGGTGCTCGACGCGCCAGAATGTAACTCCTGCACCATTTAAGGTGGAACGGGAAAATTCAAACAAGAAGCTGGCGAATGAGAAACTTTTACTGTTTGACAGTTTCTTGTTGAAACTATGAGGAAACCAGATGAGGACTTGTAAATGCACATCAGTCCATTCGTCTCCAAATCATTGATGTCCACCTTAAACCTTTCTTTACCATTTCGTTAGCAACTAGCCAGGCGAGATAATTTTTTTGTGCTGCTGTGTGACCAGCAGTTTGGGTAAAGGGGTGAATGAGCAGTTGTAGGTTACATTAACTCCAGCGTTTAAGACCATTTACTGTTAAAACTGTGTTGAACGATCAGCAGAGCTTTATTTTACTGCAAAGGAGGATTATTTTATTTTTACCCACAAATCGAATTCTGCTGTGAAGCCGCAACAGGGCAGTAAAAGAGCCGCATGCTGCTGACCCCTGGGCTAATAATTACAACCAAGCTAACATTAGTCTAACTCTTACCTCGGTTGTCGATTTTTTTATTTATTTTTTTAAAGAAAACAGCAGTTCTGCCTTTATTCAGTGGTACCTACAGGTAAGATATCCAGCTTCCTAGCTTTAATGTTAGATATCTGGTTTACTTTTGCATTCACCAGCTAATGAAAAAACACTTCCAAACAGTTCATCCCCCAAAAATCCAAACCAAAGCAGTTGTAGTTTTTCAAAAGTTCCTCCCACCTTCAAAATACATCATCAGAGGGGGGAGCTCCAGTCTTTAAACCAGAAAACCCGCTCTAGAGACTCCTGCAGCACCACTGTGAGACGCGAGTAGGCAGGTTTACAACAGATGTAGCGATGGCTACACTTGTCATTTGGCTGGAGTGTCTCTTTAACTTAAATGGTAATAAAAACTCGACTGTTACGTCTTACCAGAGATGGTGACCAGCACATTGAGGCCCTCCAGAACGTCCATCTGCTGAAAGCGGCGGCGGCTGATGAGGTTATACACCTTGCCCTGACCACTGCGGTCCAGCAGCATCAGGCCATTTTCAGTTCCAACCAGCAAGTTCACCCCTGCAGCACAGAGCAACACAGAGGTTAAGAAATCATGAACCCTGTAGCAGAGGAGGCGCGATGACATGGGCGGTCTCACTCACCCCACAGAGCGGCGCACAGGATCTCCGAGTTAAAGCGCTTTTTGTATTTGCGAATCTCCGGCGTGTCGCTGTGCGGCCGGATGTTAGTGGGGTTCACATTGACCACAGAGATTTTGCGTGCCTCGTTGAGCCGAGCTTGCTCCTGCTCCTGCTCCTGCCTCAACAGCTCATCCGCAAACAGAGCTGCAGCAGGAGAGACAAAGAGAAGCTCAATTAAGGTGACAGTCTCCTAAAATTCTACGGGAGAAATAGCATTAGACGAAAAGGAGACATTAGATGCTTCTGGTCTAAATAAAATATTATAATTGTTCATATATCAGCATCAAAACTGACATATCTCTTAGTCTTGGATGAAAAAGTTCTTGTCTTTTGTTCAGCTGTGGATAAACATGAGCGTTATCTTGGCAAATCTGAGCATAATGTGTGACTTTATCTGTACTAAAACTCTAAGAGGAGACATATGAGATTTCTGACGTCTTTTTCTCAGAAGAAACATCTGAGCAGTTGGAGACTGTAGAAGTGCCTTTTTATCTGATTCCGCTGTCTAGGAGAAACTACAGGCCTATTAAGGAGAACCCTTTTTTATTTTTTTCTTTCCTGTAATCGGAGCTACAAGGGTAAAGTAGATAACAAATATCAAAGTTAGCACTGTGCAAACTGCATTCCTAAATCATAACATGGTACTAATCTCAAATGTGGTGTCTGACACTATGTGGCAAAATGCAACTGATAAAAATGAACAGAAGCACAGATAAAATTTAGGCTTCAACATGATGACAGCAACTCCACTACTGTAGTCGCACGGTCATTCTATAGGCCTAGTTGACGTCAGACCCATATATGATCCTCTGGGTCTAAGCTGAATTTCTCTAAAGCAAAAATAAATGGATTTTTGAAAATCACTGCTATTGTGCTCTGTGGTTATCAAAATGGTTCCAAATTCAATAAGTTCTGAATTATGAGCTTGTTCAGGATCCAAAATATGAATTTTATAACATGCGAGCTAAAACTGCTGCACACTAAATAAACAACATAAGACAGGCAAGTATACAAAAATACCCCAAACAAACTATTAGGCTTTGTCAAGTGTGGCAGTTAAGTTGCTTTGGCAGTGTCAGAGTACATTAGGAGTAGCTGGTTGTTATACAGTAATGATATTATTAATAATAAACTTTCTTTCATATTTCAGTGAACAGAAGTAGTAGCTTGCTATTAGCACAGAGGTAGCACTATTTTCGCTCCTTAACAACCTCTTATTTCAGAGGATCCAGTGACATTCAGTGGAAAAATGTACACAGGGCAAAATGTATCAGGTTTAAAACCTTTCTGTGCACCACAGGGGGTGATAATGGCGATTTTCAAATATCCCATTCATTTTTTCCATGGAGAAATCCAGGTTAGTTGCACTCAGAGTGAGTGCGTTTACATGCACTCAGTAATCCGATCATAATTAAGAGAGCTGGATTTTAGCTCAGCAATCAGATTTCTCAGTGCATGTGAACTCTTACTCTGATTTCTTTCATATTTCTCAGTCTGCACGTTAGAAAACAGATGGTGGTACCGGAAATAAGCGCGCAGCGTCGTTCGCGAGATGCAGCAAAACACTTTTGGAGCGATGCTGAAGCCAAATACATACTTGACGAAATGAAGGATTTAAATATTCTTCATCTTCTAGATGATGTATTTTCATATTTTCAGATAAAGTGGTGTGATATTTAAAAAAAAGCTGCAACATGAAGTCCTTACATTACATTTTCATCACGTCTTCTTCTGTGAGCTTACTGACTGGTTGCAAAACAGAAATCCGATTACTGTCTGACTCGTAGACCTGGAGTTTCCCCATTATCTGATTATGAAGTGCATGTAAATGCACCCAATGATGACTTCAGAGAGTCTACTGTTGTCATTTTTATGGATGTCATACAGTGTCAAAAACTGCATCTAGTGTACTTTTCCAGGCATAATAAGTAAATATAAAAATAATAAGATTGTACAGTGTTAATTGGAGGGAACAAGCTTCTACTACTCGTTAGCTATTAGCATCACTGCTGAAGCAGATTTTGGACACCAAGCATGTCTTGACTGAAGGACTACATTTGGACTAAGGGCAATATTGAGCAAACTTGATTTCTGCTGAACAATCACTTTAACCAAATAAATGATAACATAACTCCACAAAAACAGAGCTATTAATCTATAATCTTTTTTTACCCAATTTCTCCCCAATTTAGTCATGCGCAATCCCACTTGCAAGCTAGATCTCCCCCATCACACAACGCTAACAAGCTGGGCTGGTTAAACTTTACTGTCCTTCTTAATAAATAATAATTATCATTATAAAACAGAGAGACATTAACCTGAGGCAGAGTTCTCATTATCGTCTTCAGTCGGCGAGGTCTGATACACCCGGGGGTCCACGAACGGAGTGAAGGAGGCTTTGGACCCGCTGCCGTACTGCCAATGAGAAATCAGCATTAAAAAAAAAGACACTCACTCACACAGTTCCAATATGATGGACAGCAACGTAATTGGTAAGTTTATAGTATGTGTTCATGTCAACATGCACATAATGTCAACAAGTAAATCGAGGACTTTTTGGAAAGACAGACCTCATGGAAGCGTACAGGTAAAGACATTGCTTAGTGAGAGTAAAACAAGAGATGTTTCAGAAGAAATGTAAGAGAGTATCATACATAAATGCCATGGCCATTGGTTTCATTGGATCATGCATTTATAGATGACTCAAAAATAAGTGTGAGTAAAATAATTTTAAAAAACAAAGCCTGCCAGCAAAGGAAGACGAGTTTAGAAGGCAAGGATGGGACAAGGAAGGGACAAGAGTCTGGAATCAGACAGGAGCGGGGCATCCCTGAATCTACAGCCAGAAGACACAGCCAGGTAAATATGTGGTTTGTTTGGACTGGACTGGATGGTGATGGTTAGAAGGTTGGGTTGGGTTAGAGTTAAGGGTTAAGGGTTGGAGCGGCTCGGACAGGCTGCACCGTCACCTACTTCAGCCACAGCGTCCAGGTCCTGCGCATGCAGACTGGAGTGGCGCCCCGGGCCTTCGCTGGGCGTGGCCAAGGGGGAGTGGCTTTGCTGCACTAGATCGGGAAGATTGGCGTTACCAGGGAAACCGTTGCTCTCGGCGTGACCCGAGCGCTTTCTTTCCCCAAACATCTGCAGGAGAGGAACACAGAGAGGAGAAGGGCTACGCTAGTGCTGAGCCCCACCATGCGCCACCTTGTGGAGAAGATCTGGGGAAATGCAAACTGAGCGCCCCCCGGTCAGTACGAGCAGTGAGATCCACCAGAGAAAAAGTGGAGGTGCTGGAAAGGGGTGACTGAACTGAACTGAACTCAAACACCAACTTAGATTAACCAAGATAAAGAGAATGAACAAATCAGACAAACTGGGAGAGAAATGAAACAGTGACACACCAAACAAATGAGTGTAGGAGGTACTGCCTGGAGCAGAGTTTAGAGATATTTCTGATGAGAGCCCAGCAGTCAGAAGATCCCCAGATTCTTACCTCTCTCATCATCAGGGTGCTGTCTTGGGAGTTGTTTCCGTAGGACTCTTCATGGGCATCCTCCTGGCCTCCCATTCCACCGAACGGCTCACTGCCGCCTTGGCCAGCTGATGGCCTGTTAAGAAAATGAAATGCGTACACTGAATTGTTTTAAAAATTAGGACAGAAATCACTCTGAAACATACAAGAGCACAGACAGAAATCCGATTTCACCACCATTGGATTTGATTTAATTTTTCTGTCATGATCCAAAATGATTAAAAAACTCACTATATAAATGTGACTGAAGTGAACTACTTTGTAAAGGTGTAATGATTAACAAAATTCATAATTTGATTCAATACTACACAGTTGTGTCTCAAGTCATACAATATTTGAAATGGAAGCTGTGCTTTATAGTATCCGGTTCTAACACTCTCGCCACAAGATTAACATGTTAATGCCAATCTAACACAATAGCCACAAGCTAGCATGCTGGTCGCGATACTACGATATGCTGTGGTACCATTTGATACGATACAATATGCTGTACTGTTACATCCCCACTATTTACACAGTAGTGGAATACGGACAATAAAAAGAACAACTAAATGTTTTGCCATTTTTACATTCGCAATGAAAAAAATGTGCATGTAGTTTCCTAAATATTGTAATAACTGATTATAACATTAGAATCAGGAATTAAATTTGAATTCTTTCATGTTTGGTTGTCAAATTCAAATTTTAAATATATTACGTTTCACAAATTCATATATTATTTTGTAAAGAAAATGAGTAAGAAGACACACCACTACAGTAAATTTTCATCTCCTAAATCTGTATAAACGGCATAAATTATCAAGTGACCTCTAAAAGCACACAAGTGTTTAAACCAGCGATTCTCAGCCTGGCAGTCATGACTCGCAAGATGGTCATCACAAAAGGTACACAGTAGAGGTCTGCGCTCCAGCGGATTCCCGCTACACCTGCCACCCCACTGCAGGCGTGAGCGGGCCGAAGCACGCAAATTTACAAATAGCCTAAACAAAGTAGAGCGATCACTAAATCATATATATACGCAATATAAAATGATAACAGTAAAACAATCAAAATGAATGAAGTCTTTCTGAAGAGTTGCGAAGTAGCCGATCACGTTAACAACACGCAAATTCTCGTAGCTTACAGAGCCTTCAGTCTTACGGCCACAGCTGCCCTAGAAAACACCAAAAATAACCGCTCTGTGGTTTAATTTCTGCTTTGTGTTTACTGGGAATAAATGGCTTTGATGAAGTTACTCACAGTGAGCCTGATGACCATGACTGCCGTGTTATTTCAGCGGAGAATAACGTATCTGTGAATAGACTATGTCAGATATTAGATGTCATTTCGGGTTTCACAGAACTGCCTGGGCGGGAGCAGGCCAAAACATTTGGTTTGCGGGTGGGAGCGGGACAAATGATTCAGATTTTCTGTGGAAGTAGGATGAAATTTTGCAGGAGAGGGACTGAAAAAACAGCCTTCTAGTTGCGCGGACCTCTAGTACCCAAGTCTATTCTGAAGTAAGAATATTAGAGAAGTGCTTTCCCATAAAGTCCCCATGCCTGTGATATCCCGCTGTCTTTATAAGCTAAAGAAGTTAAATATCCCCACAGTTAGCATGTAAAACCCCATGCAGTTCTAATTAAAACCAGAATAAAATGTTTGTTTGTTTATTGTCAGCAATGCCATGTTATTCTATCTGTTTGGTAGTCATCCTTTGTGGTCAGTAATTGGCCTGGCACATACAAGGAGTCGTAGCAGAGGTAGCTTTAAAGATCCGAGTGGACGTTTTCTACATTTGAATGTGTATTTTTTCATTGGCGTCGATGAATATCTAACTCTAATGCAGCTGAACTGGCACGTTCACACTTTTTTGCAACCCTAACAGTTGCAGATTTTTGCGTACTGATACAAAATTAAAACTCCACCAGAATCACAGTTAAAGCCTCACATGATGCGAGGGATATCGCTGACTGGCACCGTTCCATCATGAGCTCCACCTTCTCCCTCCTCCTCCTCACTGCTTTCTGACTCCTCACTGGACGACGAGTAGTCGGTCACTTTGACAGGCGGCCGGTTGGTCTCTTCATTGGAGCGCAGTTCCCGGAGTTCTTTGGCCAGAGCAGTGAGGTCCTGAGGATCAGAGGTCACCAAAAGGATCAATATATCAAAATCTGGTTTTTGATTTGGGTTGAACCCCCAAACATTCCTCAAAGACCTGGGGAAAAAGGCCTAAGTAAAAAAAAAAACTAATGAACAAAACAGTGACTAGTCTGTTAGTAGAGGCAATAATACAGCAAGGAGATACTTGAACATGTGAAGCAGGAGTGTTATATACCAACTTCAAACGCAATATATACAAAGAACAGAAACAAAACAGTAGCAAAAACAAGTCTTGAGAAGGAAGGAGGAAAATCCAGCCATCATTTCAGCGAATGATGCACAAGAAAGAGGGCAGCCTCGTGCATGAGAGAGAACGGAGAGCAGGAAGATCAGGACCAGACAGGCTGATTAGGCCTCTGTATCACATGCAGGAGGGTTATTGGGGTCAGTCCTACCAGCCTGCACCTCTTACCAGTTCCTCCTGATGCCCAGGCAGCCGGACAGAGAGAAAATGCCACTGAGAAACTACAATTCCACTGAGCTTAATATACTCCATCAGACTCAGAATTGATCTATCTGCGCGCAAATTTGTTGTTTTGTAAACACCGTGATGAGGCTGGACAAGCTTTACAGACTGTTTGGAAAAAATGCCGCTCTGCCCAACGAGGAATTATAGAACTCAGTCTTTGTCAAAATGTGTACATTTAAAATGTGTTATTAATTTCAATTCTACATCAGCCGACACCAATTGAATCTTTGTGCTTTTCATAGCCACACAATTTAGATCTGAGAAGACAGTCTGCTAATTAATGCTGAAGTAAAATCACTCATTTTTTGTATGCACACAATGAGTGCGTTTACATGCACTTAATAATCTGATAACTGCAGAAAATCAGATTTTGTCAGTAATCCGATCAATGCGTTTACATGCACTTGAGTAATCAGATAATGGGGAAACTCCGGGTCTACATGAGTCAGACAGTAATCAGATTTCTGCTTTATAACTGGCCAATAAACTCAGTTTATGATGGTTACACCTTAATTCTACACAATTCTGTGCAATTCCACACCAGTACTATCATAAAAAATGCATTTCAGCTGCAGTTCAACCAACATAAACACTGAACGTCAGCTCAGCAGCTCACTGACCCCAAGTCTTAATGAACTTGCCAGAGGTCTAGTTTGAGCAAACCGGTAGGTTTAAAAGACCGAGCACCTGGGGACATTTAAATTTTGAACATTAAGTATTCATTTAATATTTTGAGGTCTGCTAAAAGTGTCTGTATTTTACTGTTCAGCATATTTTAAATAAACAATGGCCAGTTTGGGTTACAGCACAACATTAATTAAAAATGAAATAAAAACATTTTTTTTTGTCCCACAGATTTGATGAGATTTTTTAATACGGCCCTTTTACTGGTTGAGTTTGACACCCCTGATCTACTATTTTATTCATACATTCCACTACTTTTGTGAACCTAAGACTTTGGTACACCCATTTTAAGCACCAAAACAATTCATCCTCATGAGTAAAGCTATGTTTTCACAAGCGGTATTAAGAATTTCTAAAACCTGATTTCATTTATTCAGCTTTCGAGCCCAATTATCTCTTTCCACGGTGCTCCAAGTCAAAAGGGCCTCATTACAGAAAGAGCTGAAACTGCTCTGAATATTTTGATATATAATATGTGGGTACCACGTCGTATTGCGACAGTGCCTTTAGAAGCGCACTTAAGAATATATGCAAAAATCAAGAAAATGCCCTCAGACCCCAGAGTGTTAATTAACTGTATTTTGTATTTGTGTGAAAGCTAACACTATTAGGACAGACCTGGCATTGTTGTTATTTTTGTTATGTTATTGAGCGTGAATAATGTAAATATTCTGAGAGTTTCTCAATAGGTTGAATGAGATTTTTCTCAAGCTTGTCCAACCTTGAAAAGTAGATGCAAAAGACTGCATTTCTGAGAGGAACATGGATAGTTCAATTACTGCAGTATGTAAGTGAGAAGTGATGAAATGGACACGCAATGAAACTGGATTCCTGGCAGCCTCCCAACAGGGTTGAGCATTCTCCCTGCTTTAACACGTTTAAATGAACTCATCAGCTCACTACGAGGTCCTTAATGAGCTAATCAGGTGTGCTAGAGGCAGGAAACCATTAAAGCCTGTAGCGCTGGGCCTTCCGGGTGTGTGTACTGACGCTGCTTCTCTAGATACATGTGGGAAACTCGCTGAATCATGCTGCAAATGCTGTAAGCGACATGTATCAATATTTGACCGCATAGTTAAAGTGCATGGCATTTTTCCGAAACGTAAGAACACGGCGTCTCCGAGTCTGGGAGGTTAAGCAAACAAACTCCTCCTCCTCTTGCCCGGAGACCGCTGTTGCCAAGGTAACAGTCAGAACCCGGAGATAGTGTCAGGGATTTATTGAGACTGTGAAAGAGTGTGTCGAATTAGAGCGACGCTGAAATGGGCAGCTAATGAAGGTGACTGACATGGTGTGTGTACGATCCTGTGGAGGAGACGAGCAGCCAGTCCATTTATAACCAGCAGTGAAAGAACAGTGTGAGGGGAGAGTGGAGGAAGGAGAGAGCGAGTGATGAGGGGGTGGCTGAGTGAGTGAGCGAGTGAATGAGGGAGCAAATGACTAAGTGAATGAGTGTTTGAAAGCAAGAGCGGTCTGAGAGAGTGGCACAGAGAGTGAGAGAGACAGAGAGAGAGAGAAGTAGAGACAGAAAAAAGGGTGCAAAAAAAGAGGGTGATAATGTCACAGAAAGCGAGAGACAAAGAAAGTAAGAATGTGATAGAAAGAGAAAAAAACAGAACAGAAAGAAAGAAAGAAAGAAACAGAAAGAGAGAAGAAATGACAGCCAGAGAAGAAAAGAAGAGAGAGAGATAGATAGGTAGATAGAAAGATAGATAGGGGGGGGGGCAAAAAGAGGGACAAGAATAAGAGAGATAAAGAAAATGAGATAAGAGAAAAAGAGAGAGAGAAAGAAGTAGAAAGACAGAAAAATAGAGAGCACAAAAAAGAGGAGAGCACAACAAAGATAATACAGGGAGAGACAGAAAGAAAAAAATGATATAAAAAAGAGTAAGAGAAAGAGATAAAGAGAGAATGAGACAAGAGAAGAAGAGTAAGAGAAAGAGATAAAGAGAGAATGAGACAAGAGAAGAAGAGAAAGCGAGAACGAAGTGGAAAGAGAAAAATAGAAAGTACAAAAAGAGGGAGATAATGTACTACAGGGAGAGACAGAAGAGAAAGAAAGAAGTAAGTAAATAAAGAAAGAAAGAAAGGAAGAAAGAAAGAGACTGAATGTGAGAAAGATACGAGAGAGGAAGATTGGGAGAAAGGGCCAAAAAAGGAAAGAAAATGAGAGACAGAGAGAGAGAGAGGGAGAGAGAAAGAGAGAGGAAAAAAGAAAGGGAGCCAAAAGACAGACAGGAATAAGAGAGAGAGAGAGAGAGAGCGAGAGAGAAAACAAGAAGTGGAAAGAGAAAAATAGAAAGCACAAAAAGAGGGAGAGGGAGAGACAGAGAAAGAAAAAATGAGACAAGTAAGAGAAAGATAAAGAGAAGAAAGAAAGAAAGAAAGAAAGAAAGAAAAAAGAAATTAAGAAAGAAAGAGAGACTGAGAAAGTGAGAAAGAGTACAGGGAGAGTGGTGGACAGAGACAGAAAGGGAAAGAAAAGGGGGAGAGATATTGAGAGAATGAGACAAAGGAGAGAGAGAGGAGTAGAGAGAGACAGAAAGAGAAAACGAGAATGGAAAAAAGAGAGAAAGAGACGGAAGAGGACAAAGGTCGCACTAACCTCATCTACGGCTCTCTTATAGCTCTGAGGGATCAGCGATAGAGAGAATGTTGGAAGAGGAGTGTGGAAAGAACAGAGAGATGGATGCAAGAAAATGGAAAATGAGAAAATGATTAGTAGCACAGAGCCGAGGCTGCACACTGGAACGCTGCGCCATCACGCAGGGCTGCAATGATTCGTCAGTAAAGTTGGAGGAAACTTTAAAGGAAATGAAACGATAACGAGTCATACGTAATTAAAAATCGCTTTTATCAGTGAAACACCAGCTTATTACTTACTTATTACTTATTATTTCAGAGAGTGACAGTACCAAACTACCATGCTAGCTACTTAAATTTTAGTCTAAGAACTAAGTTAGAGATCGAAAGGCAAAATGAAAATGCGTAATGGTTTGATTAGCCGATCAATACAATAATAGACAAAAAATTAATCAACTGTACAACTGTGCATGCTAGTTGCAGCCCTACGATGAAGTACTAATACCTCACATCTGAACACTGGAACATGTAAAGGCTGGACGGTTTCTTTGAAAACAAACTCCTAATGATCTGGGACACAATGATCAATAATACAAACTGATAAAGCCTAGAAAGGAAGTGAACAAGTGTTCACATTGAGAATGCCGCGCTTATGACTCCAAAAAGAGTGAGATGCAGCTCACTGGTCAGAGATTAAAAGAAATGGGACGTGTAATTGGTCACTTACCGCTGGTCTGCTGGGTCTGGTCACCTCCCTGCTCTCCTCTTGGGTTTTGGGCTTGGCCTCTTGGGAAATGGCTGGGGAACCCTCAGGCTTACCGGAACCTGTGGTAACCAGACACAACAAAACAACCAGCTAAGCACAGGTGGAGATGATAATTTGGTTATTTGATTTATTGAGAAAACTGGAGAAAACCGGTTTGCAGCCAGACAAAGCCAGAGCCTGTATAATACAACCTATTATATGCATATTTAAATCTATTATGCGCAGGCGTAAATCATCATACACGAAATCCCAGGGAACACAGATTAAAATGATAAAAATATTTTTACTTCGAGTGCGTTTACATGCGCTTAATAACCCGATAACTGCAGAACATCAGATTTTATCAGGAATCCCATCAACACGTTTATATGCACTTCAGTAATCAGATAATGGGAAGCTCCGGGTCTACATGAGTCAGGCAGTAATTGGATTTCTGCTTTGCAACCAGCCAATAAACTCACAGAAGAAGACGTGACGTAAACGTAACATAAACCTCAAACTTCATGCCGCAGCGTTTTTAAAAACATTGCGCCACTTTACCTGAAAAAATGAGCATTCATCAACTAGAAGATGAAGAATATTTAAATCCTTCATTTCGTCAAGCATGTAGTCGGTTTCAGTGTCACTCCAAAAGTGTTTTGCTGCGTCTCGCGGCGACGCTGCTCGCTTATTTCTGGTACCGCTGTCTGTTTTTGCACAAGTGCAGACTGAGAAATCCGAAAGAAATCAGAGTAAGAGTTCACATGCACTGAGAAATCTGGTTACTGAGCTAAAATTCAGCTCTCTTTATCAGATTTCTTTATCGGATTTCTAGATAGGAGTATGGTTTAAATGACCATTTGAGTAATCAGATAACTGCAGAAATCCGATTATGATCAGATTATTGAGTGCATGTAAATTTTGCAATTTAGTATTCCATTAAACATCCAGCAAAGTTTTAAAGTAACAAATAAAATAGACAGAGTATGGAATTTTTTCATCATTTTTTCTTTTGGTAAACATCGAAAATGGGTCTCTCAGACCTGAACACCACACAGGGGTTGAGTAAGCTGTACATGCTCGACTTGTCATTGTTGCTATTGTTGTTGCTTTAGCGGAAGCAGCGTTACCCTGCAACGAGTACTTACAGCAGAAAAAATGAGGAAATGTGGAAAGGGCCTATTAAAATCACAGGGGGAGAAGTTTGGCAAAATATCTTAATCATTTATTGGACAGAGAAAAGTTATTCATAGGCTATACTTTGTACATTCATATAAGGTGCCCACAAAACCAAGACTGACCTAAATAGAAAGAAGAAATGGTTCCCTGTGCCTTTAAGTAATGTCAGATAGACTTGCTTGCTTTGGTTTCTGACCAATTGATTGTTATCTGACATACTGTATGTTTCATGAACTTTCCTTATCAGAAAAAAATCTTTGTTGGACTTTTTAAATCCTATACTAAAAAATTGTATATCGAATTTACTTAAATTGTAATTGTCCATCTTTTCCACATAAATAAAATATATTCCATTAACACAGTTATCGCAAGTAACTGAAAGCAGATGCGTCTATGCTTTTACGTGTAAACTGATGCACACAACTAAATCAAAATTCAAAACAGCACTTTTATCAGTGTAGCTGTATTTAATGAAAACACTGTAATGACTGTACACAGACACAGACAGTACACCCAGCCCCAGTGTACGTGCACTGTTGCAGGGTTCTCGTATGAGTGGAAAGTGTTGGATTAATCACTATGGGTCTTGGAGCAGCTCTTACCTCCCACCCGGTTCCTCTCGCTGGAGCCACCCTGGGAGCTGGGCGTGCTGGAGCTGGAGGAGCTCCCGCTGCTCGTCCTCGGGAGACCCGTCTCCTGGGAAACTCGCAGGTCTGGGTTACTGCAGCAACAGAGGACCATGAGCCAGAGGTGATTAGAAAGATTAGCAGCCTCTTAGAGGTGCTACATATGGGGCTGAATGAGTAATTGGCCTTTGACTTCCAGAGGCTGTCAGCATTGTTGATAATACAAATTAGCCTTTTCACCTTTCCAGCTTTTTCATAAGTCTGACAGTCAAGGAAAAAAAGGAGAAGCCTATTTATAAACAACAACAAAGAAGTAAACTGAGGAATTTTGATGGGTGGCTGTTCTTTCATATACATGACTGGTTTACCTTGATCATTTATTTCTAACAAAAAAAACACTCCTAATTCACCCAAATTTAAGATGATAAATTACAGGGATTAATCAGATTTGTGTAATCTGAGGAAGGTGGTCTTTGTGTACCTGGCTCGGATGAGATGAGAACCAGGCCTTGGCCCAAGACCTCCCGGTCCATTCCCAGGAGAGTTCTTCCTTACTAGAGCAGGAGATATTGAGGTGGTCCTCTGAGGAACCTAAAAGCAGGGAATGTCACAGATATCATACCCACAGATAGTACAGTACCCACAGTACCCACAGAGGCTTTAGCGCAATTTCAAATGCAGGACCCTTCTCTCACTCTATTCTCCAACACCTCAGCTCAACCAAGAAAAGTTGCAAGTCTGAAAGCAAAGTTTAAAGAAAGCAAGAATGTGAACCACAGTGGCTGTGGCCGAATACTGTGTCCTTTTTACAGCGAGCTTGAACACGGAACTTCTTATTAGCTCCTGCGATGCTGGCGAAGATGACACTGAACCCTCCAGACGCGTCTGTTACTGTTGATTCCTTTTTGATTGTTAACCTCTGGATGAGTGTGCCACATGAAACGTTCTTGTTTAGGAGCTGATCTGTTCAGACTAATGTTGCATATAGTTCACATTTAAACGATATTGTGAACAGTCTAACAAAAAAATCTAATTTGGGGAGAAAATCAGATTTGGGCCACTTTTACCTGCTGTGTGAATGTAGCCAAACAGAGAGAGAAATAGTCTAGACATTCACTTGCGACAGCACAAACCCCCTCAACAGTGTTATAGTTTAAAGAATAAGTTAGCTATTATCAGATCAAATCTTTGACATTTTATATAAAATAACCATCATATATAAACTCTGTGTTTCATGCCTTTTTTTTCTGTGTATAGTAATTATCTGTAATTATCAATATCATTTGACATGGAACAATATATTGCGATAAACACTGTAGTCATATATCACAGCCCACCTTGGGTGGAAGTTCCTCCTCCTGCCTTAACCAGGAGCTTCGGTCAAACTTGTCGTCCCGGCTGGTGACGCGGGGCGGTGGCATCGGTGTCTCTGAGGTGGGGTCAGAATTCTGGCGGGGCATAGGGGGCCGGTGGGGCGACAGGCTCTCCTGGAAAGCTGAGACGCCCTGGGAAGACTGGTCATGCAGCGACTGAGAGCCCGTCATAGAAGAACCATGAGACTTCACCGAGACTAGGTGGGCCATCTGGAGAAGTCAGGATTCAGTGATCAACACCTGATGCTACACTGCACAAATCTACCAGCAGTGGATATGAGATCTTCAGTGGGAATTGTACCTGGGGCTCGACAGAGCGGTGCATGGGTGGGGTCCGGGCCTGCTGGATGCCGCCGCTGCTGAAGGACTCGGAGCGAGGGGGCAGCGAAGGGTCAGAGATTCGATTGGCCACTTTGTGCTGCAGGGCTGGGGAACTCTGTCGGTTCAGCTTGGAGCGCTCCTCCACCTGGACAACAGGCAAAATCAGCTGTATTGTGGAAGGTTTTCAGGAGTGCAAAGCATGCACGTAAGACATAATCCGAGTATTAACGCTGGAGACCCCATGCACTGCACATTCATGTTTTAGCCCTGCTCCAGACTTGATTCAACTCAGATAATTATCCCCTGAAACTGCAAGAGCCTGTATGTGAGAGCACACGTCAATTCCTCACTCTCATCCCTACATAACTTACACAAGTAGTTTCACAGTAGTTACTGAATACTTTCTAGTAATTACTGAGTAATTAGTTTTAAAATAAGTCTTGAAATTACGCCTGCAGGCTGATATGCCCTGAAATGAGCCATACATGTCAAAAAAGAGGGAAAACCCTGCTTAAACTGGTCAGTTATATGCCATGCAAGCTGCTAGTACTATCCTAAGGCTAAAACTGATAAATTGATGGATGTGACAGCACAAGGGGATTCATATCTGAATTAATTAAGTGTGCGAGCAGTGTGCTGCATATCAGTCTTCAATGAATACTGAAGAATACTATGACATCCAGAATAATACAACAGCTTAATATTTTAGTCTAAATTAATCATCAACATCTACCTGTTCTACATTGACAGGATGGCCTTATTCTGTGGTATTTTCAGAATTAGATCCGGTCACTGAGACTGCTAAACAACCCTAACCTGACAATATATTTGTGTCTTCACTCTTGTTTATCTTAATAAAGGGACAAAAGTAACCTTGGCTCATTCACAAGAAGGTGTTAAACAAAAGGAAGGCTAAAAGTCATAACGTGAGGTCAATTAACTCATAAGGTCCTTGCTGGAAAACCAGACATCATAAAATCGATAAAGGTTAAGCATGGGCAGCATTGTCCTAATAGAAAAACGACAGCGTTTCTTGTTTCTGCAGTGTGCAGGTATTAGCAGAAATGTCAATACAGACTTCTTAAAAGATGACAGAAGAAAACAGCCTGAAGAAAAAGAAATCAAAAGGGTGCTATTATGAAGAGAGAAAAAAACATTGTTATTGATCATTTTCTACTCTCATTAGTCAACAGAGGGGGATTTGTGTGGTATATTAAAGTCTTGACAGTGAAACTGATGTGTATATACTAATAATACTGACAGGAATTATTAATAAAGTACAACTCATGAAGAGCTGTCACACTGGCTGTGTTTACATGGAAAGATTTTTGCCAATCCGATTGAATACATTCCGATTATAGATTAAGATTGAGGTGTTTAGGCTCACTCTACTCAACAATCTGATGGAAAAGCTCCGTTTACATGCTCACTACAAGTAATCTGCACATGCATAGAGCACCACTTAGTGTAGACGTTGCCATGACAACCAGCATCACGTGAGTCCAGTCAGAGTGAGATGAGCAGCAGTGAGCAGTGCTTGTGTTTTTAATTGCTTTAAAATGATGTCAGACTCAGGAAAACGTCCTTCACATGTCCTTATTAAAGAAGGCCGAGAGGAAGACGTCGTGTTCTGAGACACATAAGCTGGACGTCCGTCCCACCGCCATCTTTTAAAGATCAGAGCATAAACTTCGTCTCCTCTGCAGACCAGTTTCTGCTCCGTCATGTTAAACGTTATAAACTTTCACCAGGACGCGACAAACATGATCAGAATGGACTTAAACTTTCAGATTGGGAATGTAATCAGATACAGGCGTTTACACAGCTATTATTCTTCTATTTAACGGATTATTTACAGGATTACCCACCTCGTTAGAAATTGTATTCCGAATAGCCTCAATCGGACAAGTCTATTCTGATAGAGGTGTTTACATGGACAAATTCTATTCCGATTGAGCTATTAGTCGGATTATTAACAGATGATCAGGTTGCATGTAAACGTTGGTCCTGATTACTCAGTTGAACCTGATTACTTGTTTTAGAAAAAAACCTATTTAAACTTACCTTCTTGATGAATCATCAATAGTTGACAATTTACATCATAATACCTATTTTCAGTGCTCATACTAGTCTCTCTCACTCTTAGATATCTGCTGGAGTATAAAATCAATATTTTGGATTCTGTGAAAGGCAGCACATAGTATGTTATCGTTCAGTTTCATCCATTTTTATAATTTGGCCTTTTGTAAAACTCTGATCACTCAATTAATCCTTAATATAAGCAGCAGATTGCACGATAACTAACATAATCGATAGTGACAGCCCTAAATTCAGGCTAATTAAGATCAATCCTACATTATCTTCAGTCTCATATTATTATGGTAATTATAATTTTGGTTTTCATAACTCAACACACCCAAATCCCACTCTTATTTTGAAGCCCACACACCTTAAACCCCATTTTCATCAAGCCGCCAGCCTTCTGCCGGACGAAAACAAATGCTTAGTAAGACTGCGGAGTGAAAATGTCAGAGGGAGCAGCTAAAAAGCAGCCGAAAATTAGCTTTACACGCACCAAGCCCACATACTGTGAAGGAAAAGGGCCAACAGGAGTGGCTGCTAAAGCCTCTGAACAGAAGAAGGGCAAAGGAGGAAAGGCCATTCCCAGAGGAATCATCCAAAGGACCCCAAAGAGAGGAGAGAGGGATTTGGAAGAAAATACCAACAGAGATATCTCGCCACAGGCAGCCCCTCGGAGAAGGATGGCATGATTAGAAGTTCCAATCATGGCCGAAGGCAGATACGGTAAGACTGAGCCTCAACGGCTGTCGGCGTACAGACAGGCAAGAGCGTCTGTCTCTCTACCTCACTGTCTCGTGCCAAAGCACGGCCTGGGCTGCGGCCGCGGCCCTCCTGGCCTGGATACGGGTGGGCATACAGGGCCAGATCCGGCTCGCAGGACACCCGGATCCTGGGGACATTGGCGTTCGCGCCCGTCTGCCTAAGCTGGACCTCAGCCCGTTCCCGCTGGGCATAGGAGGGGGCGGCTGCTGGGTAGGAGGGGGGGCGGGCAGGGATGTGGCTGGGGGTGTGGTCAAGGAGGAGAAGGTGTGAAACTTGTGTCTCCTCGGGGAGTCCAGAGGAGTGCTGGTTCTTTGGAGGGAGCCGAGGCGAGTTACTTTGAGCTCGCTTCATCACCTGCGTAGAGATTGGCATTGCGAATGTGCCTCAAACATAACAGTCAAGAAGATGCTGACCTTGTAGGGATTTCTTGATAGCTGGATGAAAAATGTTTAGATATGGATTCGTTCTGCCAAAAATGCTCTATATAAGGGCTGGGTAATACAATTATATCAATTATATCAATATCAAAAACCAAAATATTGTAAAGTTCAGAGAAATTTGTTTGGTTTTCGTGGTTTTCAGATTGAACACAGAGCAACCAGAATAAGCCTTTTTCTTATTCTTGCTCAAAATACTATTCAGACTTGAAGAAATCAAAAACTCAAATGTACCCAATTTTCCACTTGTCGCCCAAGACATGGCTGAAGTCCAAATTTGACTTTTTTTTTAAATTTTAAATAAAACTATTCATTTAAAATAGGAAATGCATATATAATCATCAGTAATTATCAATGTTGAATGAAATGGAAAAATATATTGTGACAAGATTTCTGGCTTTCTATTCTATTTCAGTTCAGTGATGCAGTACTAGCAGTGAACAGCAGGTTCCATGGTGTCCTTAACATCACTGTTCATACCTCTTTAGCCCAGGCAGGTTTGTCGCTGGGGTTGACGGAGTCTTTGTAGTGGTAAAGCTGTTTCTTGTCTGCAGGTCGAGGCTCTTGCTGCTGCTGCTGCTGGAGGGACACCAGGTACGCCCTCTCCTGCTGGAGCTGCCTCTGCAGCCTCTCTGCCTGCCTCTGCTCCTCCAGCTGCTTCCGCTTATACTCCTGAATCCACAGACAGACAACAGTGAGACAGTTAGATAGGCAGACAAATAGACAGACCAGCAGATAGATATACAGACAGAAATTCTGACAAGCAGACAAATAGTTAGACTGGCAGACAGATAGATCATCGTCAGACAGACAAACAAAGAAATAGAACGTCAGACAGACAGACACAGAGACTGTCAGACACACACGCACAGTCACACAGATATACAGGCAGATATACAGACAGACAGTTAGGCAGACGGACAGGCAGACAGATAAATAGACAGGCAGACAGTCATACAGAAAGAAAGTCAGGCAGACAGATAGGCAGGCAGACAGACAGACAGGCAGGTAGATAGACATAGACAGACAGACAGATAGACAGACACAGATAGATAGATAGATAGATAGATAGATAGATAGATAGACAGATGGACAGATAAATAGATAGACAGATAGACAGACAGACAAATAGACAGACAGACAGATAGATAGATAGATAGACAGACAGATAGATAGATAGACAGATAGATAGATAGATAGATAGATAGACAGACAGATAGATAGATAGATAGATAGATAGATAGATAGACAGATAGATAGATAGATAGACAGATAGATATATATATATATAGATAGATAGATAGATAGACAGACAAACAGATAGATAGATAGATAGACAGACAGATAGATAGATATATAGATAGATAGATAGATAGATAGACAGACAGACAGATAGACAGATAGATAGATAGACACTGAAACAGGTAGACAGAAAGTAGGAATACAGATAAATAGACAGGTAGACATTGAGACAGACAGATAAACAGACAGACAGATAGACAGAGAAGGACAGGCAGACAGACAGATAAACACGCAGACAGACAGTCAAACACACACAGACAGAATGACAGAAAGACGAACAGCAGCAGGAGGAAATTAGGACATTCTCACATTTCTAAAACGCCTCTATAATACTTGGACAAACACTGTGACTGTTGTCAAGTAACTCTAAAAGGCGAAACCAGGGCTTTCATGAACCAGAGGCTTTGCTGGCTAATCAAAGATGCTATCGCTCAGCATTGCTAATAGATCCCTTCGCCTTCCTCTACTGGCGCTTCAAAACAATGCGGTAAATCCCGGGTGTGCAGCCAGGCAGATCATCAAACTGGATGCGGACCGAGGACGGTTTCTGCTCTGCTTTGAAACTTTTTAATTGAGGCCTTTTTATCTACATCCACCGTCTATGGGGAAACAATTTTATACAAACCCATTAGCTGTGTGAGATAAATCTATTGATAGCCAATTATCTCCCAACTCTAAATCTAATTTCCCCACAGCAATGAGGCACACGCTACAGAGCTGCCGCTAATCACCTCAGGGCTGCCGAAAATCAATCTGCCCGGTCGATAAGACTGCCTGCACTGCGGAGGGAACACAGGACAGCCACAGACAGGAGGCTAAAGAACCCCCAACCCAAAGGGAACTTATAGACCAGTACAGCTGTAAAAATGCCTGACTATTAATTTGGAGAATTCAAGCTCTTGCTAACAACATCTAGCTTGAAAATCTTGGGGTGGATAGTTGGTATTCTGACAGACGCAGCTTCTTTAATTTCCACTTAAAACGATAGTCTGGCGAATTTGAACAATTTTACCCTCAGCTTTTTATCTCAAATGTAGTCAATCAGTCAAAACATGTTTTGTGACCGAAATTAGCTTCTTTAGCATTGTAGTGGAGTTATAAGGCTAATGTGGCTAACAGGTCATGAGTACTAATGACTATCAGTGAGCACTAAATCACACCCCTGCCTCACACTGTGTTAGGTAAGCTCAAGTAGACTCGTGTTTCTGGTTGATGCTTTTTTGATATTATCTATAAAAATGGACAAAAACACTGGCAAATTTCAGGCTTCAAAATGTCTGCTGCTACTGTTTTTAGCTATGTGACTACCCATTTGTCCATCTCCCCTGCTGAAAAACATCATAGAAACCACTGAAAGTTTTTGTTGGCAGCACTGGTGGTCCACTGGCGTTTTGCTCAGCGTTTTCCTGGCAGCCCACTTGTGGTTAGGCAGAGTTATAAAAAATCCACTTATCGTCGCTCATTTTTCACTCACAGTCCAATTAACTTCTATTCTTTCTTTAGTTATACTTTGTAAATTAGCTTGGTAAATTATTTTAATCTAGCCCAGTGTCAGCAACATCATTTTACTATAAAATCATTTTATATTAGACCTAGTCGCTATTTTTGTTCTCTCAGTTGTTTGTAATATGTTTATTTTCTAAAATAAAAGTCTCTGTGCCAGCCAGTGGACCGATATATGCTTGCTATAAATGGGATCTAAAGCAAACTAGTGGTCTCTGATTCCCACTACAAAGCAAAACCTTCAGGTTTTGGTCCTGGTCTATTTTTTCAGTCTACATTAGTCTCATCGCTTCAGAGCAAAACTAAAGAAGCAAACTTTGGGCACTAAATGTGTCGTGACTGACTACATTTGGGGGTAGAGGGAAATTTCTGTACATCAAATATTTTTGGCCAAACTTTAATTTTAATGCATTTTGATTTGCAGCAATCATTCACAGTTTTCCGTAGTGACAAGTCTGACATTCATTCAAAACAAGAAGCAAATATACTGACACATAGTGGCACACCATAATCAGGCCATACCGTATGAAGAGGAAGGGAGTAAGTGAAGTGAGGAAGTGAGTAAGGCTTCATTTTCTCTGAATTGTAATAAGGCCGTAAAATAATTTTCATTTTAAAGGAATTAATGTATTTACTCGTTATACCATGTTAGCCTCATTGAGGAAAACTTGCAGGTGACTAAAATGCTCTTATATTGCCAGTAATTTGTCCTGATTTGCATCAAATGTTTATTGTAGTAAAAATTACAATTATTGAGTTGCATCCAAAATTACACATTAATGTCACTGTTATCATTTCAAAACCTTTACTTGGCTTTAAGAACATCAGCTGCTCTTTATACTGTGTGAACATTCCATGACAAATGCCTGAATAGACTAAATAAAATTCTAAAAAAGTCTAATAGTATAAAAACCGTCTGGAAAACTTAATAATAATCATTACATTAATGTACATTAAAGTTAAGAACATTTTTTTCCTTCTCCTATAAGGTTATCATTTCAGGTAAGGTTTTGTAATGACAGTAACAATACACTGATCAGGCATAACATTATGACCACCTCCTTGTTTCTACGCTCATTGTCCATTTTATCAGCTCCACTTACTATATAGGTGCACTTTGTAGTTCTACAGTTACAGACTGTAGTCCATCTGTTTCTCTGCATATTTTGTTACCCCCCTTTTACCCTGTTCTTCAGTGGTCAGGACCCCCATGGACCCTCACAGAGCAGGTACTATTTGGGTGGTGGATCATTCTCAGCACTGCAGTAACACTGATGTGGTGGTGGTGTGTTAGTGTGTGTTGTGCTGGTCTGAGTGGATCAGACACAGCAGTGCTGCTGGAGTTTTTAAACACTGTGTCCACTCACTGTCCACTCTATTAGACACTCCTACCTTATTCTCAGTCCAACAGTGACACTGAGGTGTTTAAAAACTCCAGCAGCACTGCTGTGTCTGATCCACTCAGACCAGCACAACACACACTAACACACCACCACCACATCAGTGTTACTGCAGTGCTGAGAATGATCCACCACCCAAATAGTACCTGCTCTGTGAGGGTCCATGGGGGTCCTGACCACTGAAGAACAGGGTAAAAGGGGGGTAACAAAATATGCAGAGAAACAGATGGACTACAGTCTGTAACTGTAGAACTACAAAGTGCACCTATATAGTAAGTGGAGCTGATAAAATGGACAATGAGCGTAGAAACAAGGAGGTGGTCATAATGTTATGCCTGATCGGTGAATACTGCCATATAACGTAATTCCATAACATTCATAACGAAGAAGAAAAGAGGAGGTGAAGGGAGCAAGTGAGCAAACGCTTCACTTACTGTGAATTGAAATAAAGCCCATGCAAAGAGAGAGAGAGAGGAAAGAGTGAGAGGTCAGGGTTAGTGTTAGGGCTCAGCATAGTGTTAGTTTACCAAGAGGAGAGCCTGCTCCTGCAGAAGCTGCTGCTGCAATATCTCCAACTGCCTCTGCTCCTCCTCCAGCTGACGACGGATATACTCCTACCAGCGGCGTGCAGAGCAGAACAGACCCCCGCAGAGAGAAAGAGAGAGAATAATAACAAAAGAGCAAGAATGAGAGAGACAGACAAACAGACGGATAGAAAGAGACAAGAAGATAAAAGCAAAAGGCAATTGAGGTGGACAGACATTGGATAGAAGGAGAAAGGCTATCAAGGAGAATCAGAACCTAAAAAGAGAAGACTGCATGAATATAAAGACAGGTGGATATCGGAAAAGCAGAATAAATGTGGGTTTATCTGTAATGTACACTGACAGAGAAGCCCATGAGGAGCGAGCATATTGTAGGCGAGGAGTATTAGAAGTGAAAGAGGAGTGCATTAGGAGAACCGTCTGTTGTTTGAGGAGCATCTTGACGTGGCAATTTTTAGAAGTGGTGTGCGGAGTCATTGCGAAAAGAGGAAAACAAGCGCAAGCCATCAGCATCGAAACATTAATGCCAATGTTTTCGCTGAATGAGGTGGTTTATGTAGACAAGGAGGTCACAAATGTCATTAACAATTAACTTGTCACAGCTACTTTGAGGAGGCTAGTGCTTTTTAGCCCTTAAATGTATATTATACACTCGTTTTTGATTACAATCACTATATGTCCGAGCATTCTGACACCCATTCTACTTCATCCAGCTACTTTAAGGTGCAACCATTGCTGACACAGGCATTCAGCTGCACACCCACAGCTTGTAAAATCTATAAGTCAATAGAGAAGCATTGCCAATAGAACAGGACAGTGTGGAGCAGCCACACATGATCCTAAGGTCACCATGCTCAATGCGTTGGGGGTATAAACCCTCCAGCGTTGGGCTGAGGAACAGTTGAACTGCGTTCTCTGGAGTAATTGAGCTCCATCCTTTGGGATGAGTTGGAGTGATCCAGAACTAATCATCCAACATCAGTGCCTGACATTACTAATAGAGTAAAGCATTCCCAGAAAAGTGGAGGCTGTTGCTGATTTCAGAAATACTGCATGAGCAGGTGTCCACAAACTTCTGGACACGTAGTGCAGTTATTTAAATGTAATAAAAATGTGTCTTTATCATGTATTACATTTATTTATTTACTTAAGGTTATTTTGTTCTGCGCTGTTTTGGTTGAGCCATTTTGCCTGAGACCATTTTGTCTGAAGCTGATTTGTCTGAGGTTTTGTTCAAGGCTGTTTTGTTTGAGCCGTTTTGTCTGAGGCTGTTTTGTCTGAGGTTTTGTTCAAGGCTGTTTTGTTTGAGCCGTTTTGTCTGAGGCTGTTTTGTCTGAGGTTTTGTTCAAGGCTGTTTTGTTTGAGCCGTTTTGTCTGAGGCTGTTTTGTCTGAGGTTTTGTTCAAGGCTGTTTTGTTTGAGCCGTTTTGTCTGAAGCTGTTTTGTCTGAGGTTTTGTTCAAGGCTGTTTTGTTTGAGCCATTTTGCTTGAGGCTGTTTTGTCCATGGTTGTTTTGTTCGTGGCTGTTTTGTTTGAGCTGTTTTGCCCAAGGTTGTTTTGGTCGTGGCTGTTTTGTTACAACCGTTTTGTTTGAGACCGTTTTTGTCTGAAGCTGTTTTGTCTAAGGTTGTTTTGTTTAAGGCTGTTTTATTTGAGCCGTTTTGTCTGGTTTTGTTTGAGGCTGTTTTGTTTGAGCCATTTTGTTTGAGCTGTTTTGTCTGAGGTTGTTTTGGTCGTGGCTGTTTTGTTAGAACCGTTTTGTCTGAGGTCGTTTTGTCTGAGGTTGTTTTGTTTGAGGCCGTTTTATCTAAGGCAGTTTATGTCCAAGTCATTTTGTCGTTTATTGTGGTGTCCTGCTATGGTTTGCATAAATCAATAAACGAACGACAAGTTTTTCGCAAGGCTATTTCCACAGTAACTCGTAACTGTCACTAACTGCAAAAATATTACCTATTGCAACTCCACTGCATTACTTTGACCAAATTTTAAATTTTATAAATGACACAAATTCGCCCGTGATTGGTGACTGGTAAGAGGGCTTGAATCACAGTAAAAATTTGAGATTTCCATACAGTTATTTATTTAATTAATTGATATATCTACAAATATTTACAATCTAACAATCCAATAATGCTGCACGTTTTGTCTTAATAAATATTTCAATGTAATTAAATAATAATTCAACGAATTACACACAGTTATGCAATAAATTCCTTTTACATTTGATTTACAGGTGGCTAAGAAGGTTGCAAACATCCGCATTTCTGATTTTTGTTTGAGTGTGAAAATGAACAAAAATGCCAAAAAAATTTTTTTTTCTCAAAACAAGACTGTACACACCAAAATAACTTTTCATCATATTCAAATCATAATGAAACACCTCATCAGAGCAAATGTCATATTGTTTTAAAGTTTTGTAGCTGCACTTTCATCAGACAATTAAGATCAAATAACATGCTTTTGTTACTGCCGGTGAGTTCTAAGGGTTAAAAGCACAGCTCTTTATAGGTCTGGCAGCTAAAGCACTGGCTATGAGAGCTGCCTGACCATGGAACGGTTAGTGTGTGTGAGACGAGTGGGACGCAGAGGGGCTGACGTGTCACAGTGCTTCACACGCCAGCTACAATGACTCTCCATTCAACACCCCTGTGTGTGTACATGAGCACTGAAAGTGAACAGTCTCCTCTGTGATACTGAAACGGCAGCAGTGTCATAAGCTCACCAGGCATCGATCTGAAAGTGGTTACACAACCACTTCATTCAATCAGTTATGGAATGTTAGAATTGATTATAATAATGTTCAATAAATGTGGCCACAACCCCCCCCCTGCCCCCCCAATAAATTGGTGTATTGTTTTTTTGTCTATATTCTACTATGTGGCTACATAATGTGGACAAAATAGTAAATTTATCTCACTGGCTTATTTTTTCATGTTTACAAAGCGTTTACACACATTGCAATAATGATACTACTAATGCACTTTTCCCTCCAGTTATTTTTAGGGGGTTCTTAACACAGAAGCAAACACAGTGATAACACGGATTGATGCTTAATGCTGGTCAAAAACAGAACTAATTTTAATAATAGCACGGTTCAGTCAAAGCTGTGGTTGTGGTTTATTGTTATCTTTAATTTGGTTATGAAACTGTAAGTAATCTAGGAATAATCTGAATTTTGTGAATGTCACACAACCCTCACCACTCAAGGCCATTTCTGAGGCCATTATATTAGAGGCTATTTTGTCTAAGGCTTTTTGTTCAAGACTGTTTTGTTTGAAATTGTTTTGTCTGAGGTTGCTTTGTTTAAGACCATTTTGTTCGAGGTCATTTTGTCTGAGGTTGTTTTGTTTAAGTACATTTTGCCTGAGACTGTTTTGTTTGAGGTTGATTTGTCTAAGGTTGTTTTGTTCGAGGCTGTTTTGTGTAAGGCTGTTTTGTTCGAGGCTGTTTTGTTTGAGCCGTTTTGTCTGAGCCGGTTTAGTCTAAGGTTGTTTTGTTCGAGGCTGTTTCATCTAAGGCCGTTTTGTTTGAGGTTGTTTTGTTTAAGTACATTCTGCCTGAGACTGTTTTGTTCAAGGTCATTTTGTCTGTGGCCATTTTGTCTAAGACTGTTTTGTTTGAGGTTGTTTTGTCTAAAGCCATTTTGTCCTAGGTTGTTTTGTTCGAGGCTGTTTTGTTTGAGCCATTTTGTCTGAGGCCGTTTTGTCGGAGGCTATTTTGTTCGGGGCTGTTTTGTTTAAGCCGTTTTGTCTGAGGCTGTTTTGTCTAAGGTTGTTTTGTTCGAGGCTGTTTTGTTTGAGCCGTTTTGTCTAAGGCCTTTTGTTGGAGGTCGTTTTGTTCAAGGCCGTTTTTGTCCAAGTCATTTTGTCTAAGGCCGTTTTTAGTGGTGTCTTGCTATGGTTTGCATAAAATACATCAATAAACGAATGATGGGTTTTTACCAAGGCTGTTTCCACAGTAACTTATAACTGCCACTAACTGCAAATATACTGCTACCTACTGCAACTCCATGGCATTACCAAAATCTAGATTTTATAAATAACACAAAATCGCCTGTGATTGGTGGGTTAGAGACTCGAACCACAGTCAAACTTGAGATTTCAAGAAGCACTGAACTGATTCTTTAATCGACTCGGTGTGAGGTGAGGGATTCAGACCCTGACGTTCTCTGGTCTCGTGTGCTCAGGAGGGATTCTCCCGCAGTGTTCAGCAGTGCTGGTGTTGCATGACTGAAAATGTGGTGGGTAGCGGTGGGGGGTAGGGCTGGTTCCTTCAGGAGCATGTTTTAAATATGCATTCCTTCCTGCGGAACATTCCCTTCCCCAGGGGGCTGTGAGTCAGATGGAGGAGACAGAGGGGGGGTTTATGTAAGGAAGTGGGACATCAAAAACACTCATCTCCACATCACAGTGGTCTGTAATGAGACACTGCACGAGGGGTCATCCCAATTAAAGACTTTACTGTTATACACTGAGGCGTTTAGAAAGGCTGATTTGGGGACATTAACAAATTGCGATTTTTCTGACCAATACTGGAATCATGATTTAAACAGATTCTTTTCTATAATAATGTTAATACTGGTCCAAAATGACTTAGAATAAACTCTTTTTACATTAAGGAACGTTTTTTCCTTCTCCTGTAAAGTTGCTTTACATAGACTTCCAGCAGTGATGATATGCTTTTTACTTTTTCCTCTTACTTTTTATAGTTTAAAAGCTTTTTGTACAGTAAACATAGCACAACATAGCTTTACAAAGCAAAAAAACAGTAAATACACAATGTAAAACTGTAGAACCTTTGATTGTGTTCTTTCTATTGATTTTACAGTGTTATATACTGTAAAGCTTGTGATACTTTTACAGTGAAAAAAAGCTATTTACATGAAGTTGAGTTGAGCTGATCATTGAGATTAGATGTTGAGGTTGGGGTTAGGTGTTTTGTTTTGTATATGGATCAAACGTGCTTCAAAAACTGCGTTTGATTTACTACTAGTGTTTTAGGATAGTACTGCAAAGTTACTGTTGTGTTTCTGCTCATAGACTTGCATGACTGCGATTTGCGGTTGTTCGTAAGGCAAACGCTAAACATCCTGCAAAGTACTGATGCTTCTCAGCCACAATAGGGAGGCTGGAAGACGCAGTGCTTCGTTGTTGTTCATAAAATAAAAATACAGTTAGGGAAATGATCTGCATTGCTGTCTTGTACTCTTTTCATATAAATTTGATGAACAAAGTCAGTCAGAATGAAACGCTCCATTCTAGGGAGTCAGGATTGTTCACAGTGATGGGGAACCAGACATCTGAGGTGTTAAAAGTCTTTTATAGCTCCCTCACAAAAAGTTATCAGACAAAATGGTTACAAATCCACTCCCCGATACCTGAGACATGATATTCAGAATTTCAAGATAGTTTTGCAACAAAGTTTTGGCCTAAAATGTATTTTTTTTAATAATTCAGGGTGAAGAGGTACATGCAGTGTGTTGTGAAGCAAAATAGTCCTTAAAGAAACATTTTTGTTTTATTTACCACTATTTTTAACATTATCAATGTCACATAT